GATCCTATACTGTTGGACAAAGCGGATGAAGCAGTGTTAGAACAGGTGATTGAGGAGGAGGGGATAGGAGAATGGCTTAAGGGTTTGCAAATGCAGACGCGGAAGGAGGAGGCTGGGTGGGAGCAGGCTGGTCATCAATTCCACCTCAACCTCAACTCCTTCAATATTATTGAAATTGAAGTCACGTGCATCAATTCAATCAACTCAACCTAGCCATCTAGTTGATGGACTCAATCCCACCTCGATGGCTTCAACGTTGACAACCGGTTGAAAATGTCTGGATTTTGCCTCGGTTCAGGGTAGCGGCCAATGCCCCACTAGGTCCGGCTGGTGGGGTCCTGTACCCAGTACATTTTAGTACATAATGAACCCACCTGGCCCGCTGTACCCAGTACTTAACTTACTTCAGTACTTCAAACGCGTCTCCGCTGTCGCGTGAGAGCCTTGTCCCAAAAACATAACCTTAGCGTCCGCTCTTCTCAAGCGATGCCAATGGATTCAAAACCAGTAGTCAAGCGCCGCCGAACTTCAGACTGTAGCATTACCGGTGCTTCTCTGGTTGAGCCGAGCCCCTTAGCCGACCATTGGAAGGCCTTCCCATGGAATAAGTTCCCAGGATTCACTGTCTCTGAACGTGCTGGCAAACAGACATCGTGGGTCTGGCAACATGGCTTCGATATTCAAGCTTGCGATTCGCCCAACAGGAGGAAATGGGTTTGCAAGCCCTGTCTGCAGATGCCGAAGCCCAAAAGAACAGACTTTTCTGCTCTTGGTACCCAAAACATTGAGAAGCACCTATACAGGGAACATAGACTCGTTGATGAGTCTGGCAGAAGACTGCCCGCACTCGCAAAACGGCTGAAAGAAAAGACACCTTCGTTGAATATTGTCAAAATGCTGAAACTCGACATCGACAACCCAAAAGAGCAAGCCATCGCAAACGCCCTCATCCAGCGCTTCGACAAGGATCGTTTCCAGCGACTGCTTCTCGAATGGGTGGTCGACGCGAACATCTCCTTTCGCCAGCCTGAGCACTGGCGCCTTCGACGCGTATTTGAGTACCTCAATCCATCAGTTGCAGCAACAAATGCTCACATTTCCCACAACACCGTCCGAAGGCGCATAACCGACCTCCATCTCCGATATAAGTCGCAGATCATCAACCACCTCAGGACAGTACCAGGCCAAATCCATATTGCGTTCGATGGCTGGCGCTCTAGAAACCGACACGCCCTGTACGGAATTGTCTGCTTCTACATTGACAGTAGCGGGGCGCCTTCCAAGCTTGTTCTTGGTCTGCCAGAACTGAAGATATCTCATTCTGGGGAGAATATTGCTGCGCAAATCACGGAAATCCTTGAGAGTTACGAGATTCTTGAAAAGGTTGGGTATATAACGCTGGACAACGCTGCCAACATGGACACGGCCGCGGAAGAAATTGCAGAAGCGCTGGGTTTGGACCCCAAGATAAGACGAGTGCGGTGCTTCGGCCACGTGCTGAACTTGGTGGTAAAGGCTCTCTTGTTTGGGCACAAGTCCGAGGCTTTCGAAGCCGAGGTCGATGGGGAGCCCGGTGTTGATGCTGCACAACACGAGGTCTGGCGAAAAAAGGGCCCCATTGGGAAGTTGCACAACTTAGTTCACTGGATCCATCGGTCCGACAAGCTGACGTATCGGCTTCGTGCTCTCCAAGAAGAATTCTTGGAACGGTCTGACAGCCCTCGCGCTCGGGCACGGAAGCCGTGGGACGTTGTTTGCGACAACCAAACCCGCTGGCTGTCGACCTTCTACATGATTCGGCGGGCCCTCAAGTTGCGCCCTTTCCTCGAAGATCTCGTTGAGAAGACCACGATCGAGTTCAACAGGGAACGCCGGAAGGGCACGAGGAGGAAGGAAGAATTGCCATTGTGCCTCCGTGAGGAGAGCCTTCTGAGCGAGAAGGACTGGACGGTTATCGAGCTGATGGAGAAGGTGCTTATCGACTTCGAGGAAGCACTGCGAATGCTCGAGGGCGATGGTCAAAGACGGCTACGCAAAGGAGAACGTGCCCAGTCGTACGGCAATATGTGGGATGTCGCCTCAACCTACGAATTCTTGATGGATAGGTTAGAAGAGTGGAAGTCAACGGCGGAGAGCTACCCTGATCCGGAGCACTTCAAGATAAACATCAACCTCGGTTGGGACAAATTGAACGAGTACTACACGAAGTTGGACGAGTCGCCGGCGTACTATGCATCTGCTGTCCTACACCCAGTCTCCCGTTGGGGCTACTTTGAGAATACATGGACCGATCAAGAACAGCTACCATGGCTCCATAAGGCCAAACAGTTGGTCAGGAGGCTGTGGGAGGAAGAGTACAAATCATTGCCGACACAGTCGGTGCCTGACGAAGAACCCCCATTGAAGCGTTTCAAGGTAATGAGCGCTCTCGAGAGACACCGAGCCTATAGGACTTCGACCCTGTCAGGCAGAACCTGTTCCGGTCAGGGCTCAATGAACGCGGGACAGGACGAGTATGACCACTGGCTGTCACATCCCGACGCCAAGAACGACGCTATGGTGACGGACCCTGTGCAATATTGGTGGGAGAAGAGGAACGAATACCCACGATTGTCGCGAATGGCTCTTGACCTTCTCTCAGTCCCGCCAATGTCTGCGGAGTGTGAACGGCTGTTTAGCGCTAGTGGGCAGATGGTGTCGCCGCTACGGACCCGATTGGAAGCTAGCACCATAGGGATTACGCAGACATTGAGATCTTGGGTTCGGAGCGGGCTGGTTGAGGCAGTGGACTCGTTAATTGATGTGTCTGGAGAGGTTGAGAGCAGCATCATAATGGGGAGGGAGGATGGTAGCATGGTGGGCCTCGTGACGGGGGTTGGGTAGTTCAACGTCTTCAATGTGGTGCGATCAACTCAATTGACGGGCGAAATTGATCAATTTTTTCAACTACACGGGCCAAATGCTGAGTAAGCTGTCAACCCAACTCAATTTCGTCGTCAAATTGATGGAATGGAATTGATGACCACCCTGGGTGGGAGTAAGCTTGTCTTGACTGATAGGGTTCCGCGCTCTTGCTGTGGAACCCGCCGTGCGGGTATGGTGTTCCGTCAACTAGTCAACTCAACGTCAATCAAACTCAATATAGGGTCGGGGTTGATCAACTCAACGGATGAGTTGCTTATTAAGCGGCCAACTCACTCAATAGATGGCTGAGATTGGTTGGGTTGAGTTGATCGCCACCAATGACTGCAGACGCCCAACTCAAGCTTCACAGAAAACAAAAGCTTGAACCAAG